AGATTTTTATACAGTCCGGAATAATATAAAAGCACAGTTTTGTCGTATGTATATTTCAAGATTATGTTTACATGGAATTTTTATTTGTTAAAGGAGGGTACAATTTTTACTTTTTCGCGACCGTTCGTTTTATTTCTACATTTTCTTCTGTATTTTTATATGTATCTTTCTTCATGGAAATCGAAAATTATCATAATAACAACGCTAAATTGGTTTAAAATAAAGAATAAAATCTTCATTTACATAATTACGAAATCACTGTCAATTATGCTTCAATTATTTCAAAACAAATTTAATGTTGTTGATGTAACTCTGAATTAATAATTTTTATATGATTGATGCGTATGTGATTTGTAACGATGTGAATAAGAATTTTATTCTTTATCTCAATATATCAATTTTTCTTTAAGTGTAGCGTTATATAATCTACAACGACAAAGATCTACAACGACATACGCTTCGATGATCCATAGATTGTTCCGATGATACGTAAAACATAATTTACATAGTTTATATTGTTTGTAAATGTAGATTTTTTATTATATTTTACGCGTGAATGCACTGCCCTGATTCGAAGACTTCAGGTCGTGGACGAAGATTAAAAATTTTAAATTGCTGACAGAGAGGAACAAACACTATAGAGATACAAAAAAGTATCCAATATATACTTTCTATAGATATCTTTACAATTATTACGAAATTATAAAAAATCGGATATTTTAGAAGTAGGACAAAGAATCGCGAATGGTCCTACTTATATTTTTTTATTATATTTAATAGAACATCTTTAATAGAAATCGTCTTTTTAGGGAAGAAAGAGTATCTCTTTCTTTAATTAATGATTCAGATGCACAAAAACGATTGCAGTCATTCGCAATGTAATGCAGAACGATAATAAACATCGGGCTAATCACACGTTGTTCACGATCACGTAATGAGATTCTAAAAGGATTACGCGGACCAATTGTTACGTCATCAGTTAACGAGTTATGCTCAACACTTGTTCCATTGTACGACTTCTATACTCTATTTTACATGCGGAAATTCCATTCAAACTGTTTGCATGCGTTTTGATCTGGCGAAAGAAAACAAAGTGTCCTAGTAATCCCTCTACAATTTTGCATTCAATTAAAAATTTAGATGCGCGAATGTGCCTCTATTTCTGTTCGCGTGAATATTTTTTCTGGAAACCGTATTTCTTTATCGAAATACTTGGCGAATTGGATAGTTGAACGTCACATGCAAAACAGTCATTAATTGGAGGTGCTCTCTTCAAGCGCAGTAATATTCTCTGTTAATTTACAAAATTACAGAAAGCTTTCATATTTTCATTTCGCTCCAAATGTTTGCGCAAATGATCGACGCTATCATTTCACCATTTTGCGTTGATGGCAAATTGCCTGTTAGAGGCTTATTGTTGTACAACAGTCGAGTTTGCAATTACGACAATAACATCGAATGTAATTACTCCGCTGTAAGTAATATCGTTCAGATACATTTGTAATATTCGCGATGTTAAATAAACACAGCCGTTTCGTCGTTTCCTATCGAGTTTGCGTGTGACATAGTTTCCCCTGTTCCTCTTTCACTCTGTCAAACACGTGGCGAGGCAATCACATTTGATTCTCGAATCCTGGAAATTAATACATCTTCGGCAAAAGTTAATCAACATTAAAAGTGCATTCACTGTAACGGTCTATTAAAACGCAACGAGTGAATATTTTGTTTACTTCTGAGAAAATGACGATAAATAACCGATCTTTCATTATTTTTACATTGGAGATCTTATTATTTTACAGTGAAATAAGAAAAGAATTATTACTGGCTTCTAGAATATATGAGGAACGAGAAGCTAAATAATAATGAATAGTTTCTTTTATATAGTAACATTTACCATGATATTGTCACACGAAGCATACGAGATAAATATCCAGTGCTGATTATATAATCAACTTTAGCGCATATTCGGCACTTAAAAATATTTGAAATTTATTAATATTTATACTTTTTCTATAAAAATCCTACTAAAATCGTGTACATATGAAACAGTTATGTGAATATCTTACATTTATATGATAACATATTTTTTAATAGTTTATTTTTTTGTATGTTTGTATAGTTTATTGCATTTGTTGTTATTTATTATTGTTATAATATTTCAATACAAATAAATGATAACAGAAATTTCATTTTTTAAATAAATGCTTTAAATAATTCAGATTATTCAAAGTTTTATTGCAATTTGTTGATTAATTATTTTATAAATAAATAAAGTGAAAAGTAAACTCTATTTATTTACAAAATAACTAATCAGTGAATCGCAATAAAACTTTGCACAAATAATTTTGATTATTTAAAATATTTATATATAAAAGAATTGAAATTGTTATCGTCGTATTTTGAGTTAAAGTACTGTATGAATAAAAAATAATAAGTAAATTATAAAAATTTATTGTTAAATAATATGATGTTAGTCATACAAGATTTATAAGTGTATAGTTTTAGTATTTATTTTTATAGAAAGTCTAAATAATTATTACATTTTTACTTATAATCAAGTGCATTGTTTTGCATATGAGTAGTTGCTTAAGTAATAATTGTGACGAATGCACCAACTTTTAGGAGAGAAAAACTTCAACTGCACGCATGTGCAATGAAGCAATGCACCGGAGTCGATTAGATTTGGCACTTTAATATCCACTATCAAGGCACTGTACTGTGCAGCGTTGTTATACGATATTAAAGCAGTTCGTGGCGACATTATTTAGGAGGGAGAACTCGAGTAATTTAGGGCACGTAATTAATATCCTTGCGGTCGTACGTCTATATGTCTCGCCCATGTTGATCGCTATCCTCTTGCAGATACGCGACGTAAAAGCATTGTCTGTTATACATACGTATATACGTCGATATAAGTCTTGATTGAACGTTTCCCCCAGTTTTCGCGGCGACCGAGTTACCAGGTATCGACTTTCGGAACTATCGGTTACCCGAGCTTTTCCCTAGATTGAATATTCAAATTAGTTGTGTTCAAACCGCGGGGAATATATCGCTCTTCCGCTTAATTTCGAGCGTAATGCCGTCGGTATCATGAGAGATCAAAGGCCTCGAAAAAGTGGTTACCCCGCTCTTCTACGGGAGAGTTTCTTGCTTTGTCCTCCGATCTTGGAATGCATTTATACTTCTTCCTTGGAGCTTCGTATCCGCTTACATCCCGCTGGATTATTCGCATAACCGCGCGTAGTCGATAAACTCTGCGGTGAAACGTTAAGATGAGTTAAGGAACGCTTTGCATTCTATCTGAATAGATAAATATCGAAATGCAATTACTCATTTCTCTTTATTCTTCGAGAATCTTATAAAAAGACTCTCCGAATCTAAATTTAACGACAAACACACTTACACAATACACATAGATAAATGAAAAATATTATTCAATATGATGAATATGTATTGAGAGAATAGCATTATTTTTATAGTAGATTTTAAAACTAGAAGTATTATACATTAACCAGATGAAGTTAGTTATTCAAATGTAAGTGTAATGGTCATCAACATTGGGAAAATAGATGATAGTAGAGTTGCTTCCGAGATGGATTACTTGTTTTCTATCGCACCATCGTATCGGTTTTTGCTGGATGTGCACACGAGAACTGTATGATAAGTGTGTTTATAGAAAGAAAGAACTGAACTTCTCATTCGCGAACGAATACTGGAAAATGATCAAAAGTTAGAGATGTTACAGTAAACAGTCATTAAAATAAAGAAATTCGAATTTGAATTTAAATATCATTGGACTCTTCAATGCTTGATAGTTCTTACATTTTTTTTTCTTAATTTTCAATTGTATTTGTGAATATCTAATTGCAAAACATAAAATAATAACACTAATCTCAATTTTTGTATATAAGTATTGAGGATGATTTATGTAAAGTTGCATTGCGACGCATAGATTAGTTGTTATGAAAATAAATAAAATTTATTTATTTGTTTATTTGCAAAACAATTAATTTCTACATTGCAATGAAACTTTGCATAAATCATTCTGTGAATACTTCAAACATTTTGACAAAAAACTGACATTTTGATATTTTTTATTTTTTTCAATTTTATTATTATGACAAAAACTAATAATAAAAGAATAACAGATAAAGTAAATAAACTATAAAAATATTGTTATAATAAAATTATTACAATAAAAGTATATTAACACATTGTAAAAATGTGTGATACATGCTTATCATGTTATATAATCTTTTTTTATGTGTTTTTCTTACGCATTTCCATCTTATTAATGTTATTGCGATGCTGCTTGTGAAATATGAAGATGCCAGTCGTTATATTTTATTTTATTTTAAATGTACGAAATATAAGATACCTCAGCAAACTTAAACAAAGTAAGCAACTCGTCTAATCATAGCCCAGAATTTTTCTCGATTTAATCTTTATTTCGATCTCAATTTTTTTTTATTTACTGTTTCAATTTTTCCGTGCCCTCCAGTCTAATGAAGCAATAAAACCGAACAAAATAAAAACGAAAAAATGTATGTTAAGGAAGTTAGGGAATTGAGAGAGAGAGAGAGAGAGAGAGAGAGAGAGAGAGAGAGAGAGAGAGAGAGAGAGAGAGAGAGATCAATCGCGGTCGAGCATTCTCGAAAGTAAGTTAAACTAGATGGCAATAGTGAATTTATATTTTCTTTATTTAGTTAGTCGAAGTTCTTTATAGTTGATATACATGTTTGCCCTTTGGCACTACTACTCTAGCTATTTCAAGTATTATTTATTGTGTATTTAAGTCTTATAAAACGACAAGTTTGAAAAATTTTAACGTTCAGATTTTTATCTATGATTTAAGGTGAGGCAAACACATATTATTTACTTTCTCTATATGATTAAAAAATTATAACGTAATAAATGAAAAGCACATATTTTATCAGGATTACTTTGATTAAATTGGAATCTTTGAAAAGTTTCTCCATTCTTACGATTTCTCATTTGCAATGAGTGACTATTATCGTTCGGTGATTGACCATTTATCGGAATTTAAAAACGAGGCTGAAATGAGGTCCGAAAACGACAAAAGTGAACAAGATAACGACTCGCAAACATCCACTCCGTCGTGCGTCTCGAAGATGGATTATACACTGCCGAAATATCGGAATAACGTAAGTCCCGCGATCGACAAGATCATGCGAATGATGAACATGCCGAGCTTGATAACGTCTGAGGACTCGTCCAGCGACTTGCTGACATCGAAGAATCGCATTCCCTCGTCTAATTTTTGTTGTGGCGGTAATGAAAACGTCATAATTCCTATCATGGCTAAAGAATGTTTGGATATATGCTTCTCGAGTCCAAAGCCGTTTGTCAGTACTTGTAAAAAATACAGCACAGTGACGGATCGCATGTACTCATTGTTCCAGGATGCGCAGAAACCGCAATTGCAAGAAATGATAGAACCGCTTCCGAATGGCGAGTCAGAGGATCCTTCAAATTACGAGGTAAAATAGATGCCGCGATATATTATGATTGAAAAAAGAAAGCAGATGACGAAACAATAAATATGTATAGGAGAAAATCTATGTATCCGAGGTGACTTTCTTACTAATGGCGTCCAATAGGAATCAAAGAATGAGGGATAATGTGTTTCAACGAACCATGCCATCACGAACCAATTCTAGAGATAGCGGCTTTAGTGAACTTGTGGAATTCGTGGAAGAGACTCGAGACAAAAATCATGAAGATGACCGAGACTGGCAATAGCGGACTGCGTTGTCTCTTATTTTATACTTTTATGGATACAATTATGACTCTTTGCTTAATACTTAATACTTAATACTCCTGCTAATACAACGTGTATAATTCATATTTTTATATGTATCTATTTTGAATTTTTATTGTTTGCTTATAACTTCTGTAATTTATGTTAGCGTTTGCTGTTTATGGACTCCATTACATTATTCTTTTTTGTGCTAATATAATTTTAAATAAAACATTTTATGAATTATACATTTAAATAATACTCTTTTAATTGAATAATTTAAATAATTTAATCTTTTTATATTTCATCTTAAAAAAATTTCACTTGCACTGGATTAATAATCTCTCTCTTGACAAATTTCTGAATCCAATGTTAAGCACAATTGAAAAGTATAGGCAATAGGAATGAAGAATAAAGGATTTTTTCATCTATTAGAACTGTATATACCAGAATTAAATACATGAAATCTCTTCCTATTCTCTCCTATTGTCCGTACTTATCAATTTTGTCTTTGATCTCAGGTTTTACTAATCACTGATCTTTTTGCGAAAGAATATATATCTCGTTTGCTACGACAGGGACATAACTCGATAAAAAAATCGTTATAAAAAAGAATGGAGCTTAAAAAAATATATTTTAAAATATACTCTTATTTCTTTCGCCTCTACAATCAATTATTACTTAAAAAATGCATTTCAAAATTAATATTACAAAAGTTTTTTGATAATTTGAAATATTCATTTTCTTGAAAACTTTCTTTTTTGAATTATGTCATTATTGTAGCAAATAAATGATATATGAAATTTATTCGATCGATTTTCGTTTAACAAGACAACTGACAAGGTGGACAATCACGTTTTATATTGTGGCGCGTTTCGGGAGCTTCAGGATATGTCGCCACCTCCTGGTACAAGTGAGCGCTTATATCGATTGTATCGATTATGTTGTCCAATTAGGTGGATTTCTGCGATTTCAGTGTCGCAACGAGAATCGCTCAGCTTTCAGCCCGAGGATCTCCATTCTACTCGCGAAAATCGATTTTTGTCGATACGAGAAGATTTCCATATATTATATGCTTGACAAGAAGTTTCGCGACCGCCCTGTTTTCAACATGTCCGATAAAGAGCAGAATATTCATACACCTGACGGTGCACATCATAATATATACTTTTCTCCTGGGACTGTGTTTTTTGCTACCAATTCATCACCGAACGCATCCCTGACACCGACAAGTGACACCGGCAGGAAGTAGATAAGACGATTTTGCGCCAAGATTCGAGAGATTTCTACAGTGGAGGCAGATGGACCGTTCTCTGAATAATTTTACACCTGTACTCAAGATGTGCGATGAGAATACGACGCATGATGAGGAAGCGTGCTCATCATGCGATGAGTCATTGATCGAGAAAATAGGTATGCTCAACTAGTCCACATCGAGATACCCACGCGCCTTCATCTGAACATCCACAAAGGTAGACGCGACTCTAACGGACGTGAAATTCCAAGAGAAGAGACGTCTGTGAAGTGATATCTCCTTGAAGTTGAGGCTTCCTTCAGGTTTTCTTCAAGGAAATTACGTGGTTTACGGATTAGTGTGTCTTGAGACATTGTCAAGTGCCATTGTTTGACGAAGATTGCACTTCACTTTATCAGGGCGAAAAATAACCTGTAATATACTGATTGTTTCTCGTCCTGACGAAGTGAACTGCAATATTCACGAAACGTGAGCATTTAACCCTCCGTCGGCAACTGGGATCTTTAATGTTATCGTCGATATTTTGATTATAAATTCTGGTCAGTAAATTGAAATCTGTGAAAAGTAAGTAAAATATAATTCTTCTGTGTGTGTGCGTGATGGCAAAAATATGTTAAAGTTGGACAAGTATATCAAAATTTTTTCAATTTTTCATATAATTCGGTACAATAAAAAAAATTTGCTCTTTTTGGAGAAAGCGAGCAAAATTCCATGTTGCCGGTAGAGGGTTGAATGTCAACTTGAACATTGCGGTTTATTTTATTAGAGTAAGAAGTAATCTGGCTACTTCTCGATCTGATGAAGTGAACTGTAATGTTCACGAAAGTCAACGTTAGTACTTAACAATGTATCATGAACCGTAAAACTGTAATTTCTTTGAATGCCTGTGAAAATCTCTTGTAATATCTTCGCGGACGTTTCTTATTTGGGGAAGGGGAGAGGGGGCCTTTCTACGTTCATCAGAATCGCGTCCGCTCTTCTGGATTTAGATGAACGTTTCGACGAACGCGCGTGACAAATATTAGCACAAATTTTCACACTAAACACCTGGCAGAGGAACTGCGAATTGTCAACTGCAACTTAATCAGCAACAACGAAATCTCAGCGAGGGACAAGACGAGGGACGAGTTGACATCCGATTACTCGACCATGGAAGCGACCGTCCCGGACAACGACGGTTCGTCGTCGAAGGTGACGTCCGACAGTTCGATCGATCAGTTTCCGCCGCGAGGGACGAAACAAAGCGACCGTCCGGACCGAGAGGACGCGATCGTCGATTCCGCAGTGGAGGCTGGTAATCCCGGGAATGCGGAATCGACTGGCTTGGCAGATCACCCGAGCGCCATTGAGAACGGCAAGAAAACGTTTGACACGTTTGACGATTTATACAATCGAAATGCCAAGTTGACTCAATGCTATATAGAGCAAATGATGGCCAAGCAGCAGAGTGGCGGTTGCTTTGCGAATCATTGGTCGAGAAAGTTGATGAACATGTCGACGCTGTGTCGATCGCCTCAACGATCGAAAAGATCGAAAGAAACGGAGCATCACTGCGGCGTAAAATCCAGAGTGAGTTCGCCAGTGCGAGGGAAAAATCCCATTCTTAAGTTGCGCCCTTCGACGGATACTTCAAGAAGACAGGCCCAAATACTCGAAAGACACAGACCAGGTAAACGCGTTTCACCTTGGCGGGAAATGAATTCAATCGATGATCGTAGCGTGCCGCGTAACAATAATAACGATTTCAACCTTGAGTGCCGTACGTTTTTGCATCGGCTTGGCCGACGTTGCGAGATATTGTATTCGCAGTGTGGTGCCTTGTTGTCGCCCACCTGTTACCTATTCTCTCGTAAATCATTACCGATCAATGTTAATTGAAATATCCAATTTTTACTTATGCTGTGTTGTTTTAACATGTGCCTGACACATAGATAAGGCAAGATATTTTCAAAATAACATCCAAAAGGATGGGAAAGAAAAGGCGAAATGGTAATTTATATTCGACGTTAGTAATTGGTTTACATCAGCGTTTTTCAACCTATTTCAATTCCGGCACATTAAATAACCGATCAAATTTATCAAAGTATATCATTCAATTTATCAATGTACGTCAAAGTATATCAAGGTATACACGCTTCAACGCTCAACATAAATCTTTTATCAGATACTGCCAATATTAAAAAAATAAAAAGTAAAATTGCAAGTTTTTATTTTCAACTTTATTGCTTTAAAAGTGATTTTATTATGTAATATCGCTTTGATTATAATAAAAGTAAATGCAGTATAATTTAAGCAATTTTTAAAATATTTTTTACTTCGCACCTTATTCGTTTTTTTTTTTTTTACTTATTACTAAATTTCCTCTTCTCTTTGCCTTGTTTAAAATTATCACAGCGCACTTCGAGAGCTCCCCTTTGCGGTACTCCGGTTGAAAAATTCTGGATTACACCAAAGACGTTACTCGAAGTATTTTGCGATTAAAGCTTCCTCGAGAAGTATTATAATTGCTTTTGAACTCGTTATACGCCGCAAGACAGTCCACGATGAACGGAAAGGAATTTGGTTTTTTTCACTATCGTTTTCTCAGCTGCTACCTCGTCTACCCGAGCACTTAAGTAAAGATAAATCGCGCATTGTGTATGCGCGATTAATGATTTTACGTTGCGTAATCGTCTTGAACGTCGTAAATGAGTAGCAGTAAACGTTGGCGTTACGCAAACATCTTGCATAATTATTTGAAAATTAAACGCACATTTTTATCGCATCTCTCGCCCACTTAAATCTCAAAACTTTCTTTCGCTCATACTTTTCCGCAACATCGCAAAAATGCGAATGCAAAGTGAAGCAAATGGAGCATGCCACCCGAGTGTATTTCACACTATCATGCAGCGAGAAAATGAAAATGCGCGATTCTGATCCGCTACGTAATTCTTGAACGCCAACCGCGATTTAAAAGCGAGCATGAGAAAGCTCGAAGTCGTAAATCACGGGCATCCGCGTGGGTACGAAACATAAAGGAAAAAACAAGATTATGTGCCTTAGCTTCATGTACATACTCATTAATTGTTACGAGGTGGAGAGTGTAGCGCTTCGTTTCGAGCATAAAGTCGTTTGATCAATATTTAGGCACACAGTCGTCGTGTGTACACGCCGATTTATTCTGTGAATCGCTTTGTAGTGCCGCTCATATCCCGTAAATAAAAACATTTAATTGTCACTTGGGATTACAGCAGGCGGCTCAACTGTAATTAATGCCATTGCCGTGCAAGATCAGGAGATAACCTGCTGCTCTTATGCAAAGGCTTACTCGGCGAAGAGAAATTTACAAGAGTACTCTAAAATATTTTTCAAGCGATTACCGACACTTTGTGCATTTAATAATTTTTTTGAAAACAAAAAAATTATAACTAGAATATTTTGTCTATTTATATGTTTTTTTTTTTCATGTACACTTTTTCCACCGTAAATCATTCCCGTTTTGTCGACAGATGTCCCGTTTCCACCGTCGCACAAAATGACAGTGGCAGAAGTGTTCGATGAACGAACAGGATCCCCGCGGCCGGAGGTCCTCAAGCAACACTTTATCCTCGAAGGTAGGATCGACGAGGCTGCGGCTCTTCGTATAATCAACGATGGAGCCGCCCTTCTACGCTCGGAGAAGACTATGATAGATATCGAGGCTCCGGTCACCGGTGAGTCAAAATCCAACTTTTGTTAAATCTCAATTTGAAGTACGCACGACTGGGTTTCATTCGTGTTCTGTGCATTTCTTTGCTATTACTAGTATATATCAGTATAACTAGTTTTCTCTTGAAATATTTTTTTTAACCATTGTTGGACTTTAAAAGCACAATAAATCTTTTTATTATAAATTCTGACAAAAGTTTTGGATTGAAAATGGTTGAATCAGATGGGTCTGATCTTATCAATCAGAATTCTGATTATCTCGACTAGAATTAAATAGATTTAATCAGCAGATTCTAACGTGTCTATTTTTAATCATTAGAATTCCGATTAATGCAACCCTCTTTCCAATTTGGTAAAAAAATCTGTAAAAAAAAAATAAGTAAAATACAATCTGATTTCTATGTGATAACAAAAACTCATTGTGTGTAAGAATTTTTCACATTTTTATACACTCCGGGATAATATAAAAATTTCTCAAAAAATTTGTGCTGAAGACCTGAATTGTAAACGAAGGGTAAAAATTTTACATCGCCAATGGAGGGCTAATACACAACCTTACAAATACTTTTTAAAGATGTTAGAAGTATATATGAGAATACTTCATAATTTTTTATGTACTTGCAAAAGTAATAATGAAAATTAACCCGGACACGAATGATCCAGCGTCTATAATAAAGGGCCCGAAGATCGTGTGTACCAAGAGTTAAATTTTAGACTTTGGTCTCAAACTAACTGTCGGCAACTTACGATCCGGAGAATCCCAGCGATTCTGGGCGATGTGTGTTCCACTGTCAAGGCCGCCTTAATTAATTGGATATAAGATATTCACGCCTTAATTGAAATCGAAAATTCGGTCCCTTCCTCTTCCCCTTCCCCTCCCCCCCTCCCCCTCCCGCTCGATTCTCGCCGCTCCTTGATCAATTATCCTTGAATTAAGTTCGTCGCGACGGCCTCCTTTGTGGCGTGTCCGCTGATTGTTCTGAAAGCGCGGAATAGGAGAACGTAATAAATCCCACCCTCGGCTACTTCGGATCGATTCGGTTCCTATTTCCTCCTACGCCCCCTTCTGCTGCTCCCCGTCATCCTTTTACGCACGTATCATTGACAGTTATTACTTTCCACGTCGCCGCAATACAATTTTCATCAGTGAGATTAAATGGGCTGTATATATTCGCGCTACTTGCGTCGCATTACTTCTTTTCGAAAAATTTCATTGGGTTTATTACGGAGTCGCCTTTAAAACGTCGAAAAACACTGATCTGTGAGAAAGCGAAAGACGGAAAGAGAGCGAAAAGTTTTCGCATAAAATATAATATTTTCCACGGCGTCTAATTTGTTTTTAATTGATAGAATAATTGAAATCTCGATAATCGGGAGAGCTGCGAAGTATCGGCTTAATTTAAGACTCTGATCGTTACGAATGTCTTCGATAATAGACAGATAATTAACATAAATTACAATTAATTAACCGCGGATACAGAAACGGCTACCGCTTTTATTTACTCGCTCGTTTACTGTGAGAACACACATTTCTTCTACGGTGAAAAAAAAAAAAAAATAAAAAAAATACAGACCTTCGATAACATCTATCAAATCAATATGTGTCGCGTGCACGCGAGCCGCCCATGGGCAGCCGCATGCTGCTGCTGCAGCATATTTTTCGCGCATATGCTCGTCGCATCGGAATCGATGGTCAGCGAATCGGCCTTAATTTATTTCACGTCGATCGGAGCGACCGGCGAAATCGGTCATCCCTCTTCTCCCGTTCGTCCCGCATGCTTTTTCGCTCCTTCGGTGTCCGCCGCGCCATCCGTCGTCCGTGCGTCTCGTGCATCCTCTCCCGCGGTGTAATTCATCTTCTACCCGATCCTAGCTGCAACCACCCTGCGCCCTGGCCGCGATGCGGATTCGCATTCGACGAGCAGACGCCTGGCGCGACCGCAATTTCTCTCTGTCGGATCCCGTACTCTTCTTTTTCCCCCCCTCTTCCCAGGCGACACACGTGAGCTAAAAGCAAGTCGGGAAAGCGGCTTCCGGTATCGACTATTGTCTACGACAAAGCGATGACGGGTCGGGAGAGGCAATATCTATTAGACACATTCTCAGATCGCTTCGAATTCCCTCGGCGATCTCGGGATTTATGAGAATTTGGCCGGGAGAAGTGGTACGGGTCGATGACGTTCTGCGAAATCCCGCCTACCTCGAGCTTCGTTAGTTCGCCTGATGAACTGCCGCGTATATACTGGAAAAACGGAGAAGTTTTAATCCGGAACGAGAAAAGGAAACGCGAGGCGTGCTGACCTATCGGAAAATTAATTAACGGTTACCACGTGGCCTCGCATGAAAAATTGATGTGCATATGAAGTTATTTACCAAAAGATGTTCTTAAAATTATTGTGTTATATTACCTTGAGAAATGGAAGCAGATATTTCTTTTTTAGAATTCCGTTTGACATAAATTCCTTTCGTGTGTCTCGCATGAAAGATTGATATGCACATTTCCGAAATTATTTACTGCTATCAGACTGCTCTTAAAATTTTTCTATTACTATTCTAAGAAACGGAAGCATATAATTCTCTTTTAGAATTTCGATTGACGCGAATTCTTTTTATGTGTCTTGCATGAAAGATTGATATCACATTTTCGAAATTTATTTTTACTAAAAGGACTTCTTAAGATTGTTGTATTATTATCTTAAAAAAAGAAAGCTTATAATTCTTTTAATTTCAGTTGAAACGCGTTTTTACTTTCAATCGCTCCGCGATTGCGTAATTAATGGGCGTATCTAATGATTTTTATTAAGCGCAACATCTCGCATTGATGGAAGTGAAGAGGATCAAATTGCGGTTGAATAATTGGGAGAAGGACAGAAGGCACGTTGGAGTCTTCCTTTGAAGCGACCGGGTTTCTTTTCTGTTGTACGACTTCGCGACGCGTTTCTTTGATCGACATATAAACCCTCGATTGTTCTCAATTACCGAGCTAAATCCTCACACGAATAAGTTGTTCATAAAACGAGGTCAATCGAATGGCAATTTACCGCTTATATCTTTTGAATTGTATTATATTATGTATTAAAAATACATATTTTAATAATTGAGTTACGTAATTTGAATTACGATTTTTTTTATTATTAATAAACTTGGACCTTTCAAAGTAACTATATAATTGTTATTAGGCTGAATCAAAAATTGAAGTTAATATCTTAGCTTACCTATAGTAATATTTTCGCATCGTTAATTAATTAACGTCCTAAATACGTTTTATGTTTAGAACTGTTTGATCGTCTTGTTAAATTTTTGCTTTGACACTTTATTTCGTTTACTTATAGGTACGTTTTCTGTAACTCAACTAGTATATATTTTTGAAACTTACAATGAAATAGATTTGACATTTGGCAAAGGCAAGAAAGAAAGTTCTAGTGCGGGAATAAAAAAAACGAAACATTGCATATGCTTCTAATTTAAGATTAAAAATCTCTGACCGCGCCTTTTTGCATGAGTGATAACTAAATTAGTATAATCACATTCTAGACTTGAACAATGAAAGTAACATCTTACAGACGAATTAAAAGATTAGAATTAAAAGATTCTCTTTTTTTTACATTCATGATAACAGAGAAGTAGCAGCATGTGTAATAAACTGAGATTAGAGCTAAATAGTATTGTTAAAATTTCTTATAAAGAATTTTCTTTCAGACCGCTCCGCGGCCTTCATAAACGAACTTCCTAGATATTCAAATTAATGATAATGAGTTGCTCGAATGTTAGTCGAATGGAATCCTCCTTCGGCGATTAGTGCGTTTCTTTGCGCCGTGAAAGAACAGCCATTTCCACGTCGATAGAGCGAAGTGGCTCGTTTTAGCTCATGTCACGACTTCGCTCTTTTCTCTTTCTTTCTCGCTAACGTTATAAGCCGGTTGGAAGCCAGCGCGTTACGATAATCGCTTCGACATTGCATTAATATTCTTTCGCCTTTTTTTTTCGCTACTGTAAATTTTTTTCTTCCAGAAATGAGTTCTTTCGTTATGCGCGCTCGTAAAGCTTTACTGTCTTCGCGTTCGCGTTTTGTGCTTCTGCGAAATAAAAGAAGTAGCGATCGGAAGGTTATCGTCGATCCTGAAAGTTAATGCTGATCGTTAAGGAAAGAAACGTTATCTTGCGATGAAAAAAAAATATGCAATCTAAAATAGCTTTCTTTTAACGCGATTTATGTTTAAACGTAACTCGCTTATTTTATTGAACGTAGTTCCATATTTAACGTTAAATATTAGTAAAAATGATAATAAACACGAGTTTTTCTAATCTTTTACCATTTAACATTCTGTACATTTATTTTGATCACTTGAAGGCTCAATTTTTTATTGTCTGAATAAAACTTATGATTTAAACTTAACCTCATTTAACCTGTAACGATTATGTAACAATATTGTGTCTCTTTAAGCTATGATTAATCACTATATTGGCAATTTTATTGTGGTTACTTTAAAAGTTATCTACTTAGTACAAAACCGTCAGTTTGGTGATTAACTGTAGCTAGGAAAACATAATTTTTACGTTATCATCAGATTAAGTTAATCAGAAAAAATCGAGTCTAATGCTCGTTTTCATTAATGGTAGTTTAACTTTAATATCGGTTTAACTAACTCTTTATCTTTTTCTAGTTCTAAGATTAGAAAAAGCTGAAGAGTAAATTGAATTGAGATTAAATTTAATCTCCACTAGAGTAAAAACGGACATAAGACGATGTGAATAAGAGAACAACAGATGAGATATTTCAGATGCTTGCACTGTGCGTTTTTGCAGTGAGACTGAATTTAGTTTGCTTAAAATGATTTTCTGTTTGTTCGCTAAGCGATCCAACCAAGATTGGCCGAGTATCATTTTGCTTGAAGCTCCACGATACTTAAATAAAGATTTAATTTCGGTAACTCAAACATTGCCGAATCATTTGATCGCTGCTCGTTTTACGAGTGCTGCTCGGTACGATTATAAATTTGTACTC